CATGAAATTCCTCAGCCTCACTAGCTAATGTTCTTCGCCGTTACCCCTTGGTCAAGCCCCAAGACCCACCCTCAGTCTCTGGTGTTGGGTCCCTCGGCTCTCCACCCTCCAGAATGGGATGTTCAGGGTGTAACCTCACAACGCCTGCAACCCAGGCGGGGAAGGAAGTTACATATTTCTAGCACTTGTTATGGAAATCTGAGGTTTCTGTTCAAATACTTAAATTTCATGTGAAGTTGATTATATAATTTTCTCTCCATCCCCAAGGTAAAAAAGTCTACTCCATTAAATCGATACAGTGCTATAGTGTATACCTTGTAAACTTACTAAACTGTGAATAGATCCTAATATATTTTTTTGGAGGAAAAAGGTCAGTATAAAGCGTAGAAAAATGTATGTAAATTCAGAAAGAACCTATCAAAAATTGTGAATACTGAGCATACTCTTGGTACTTTTACCAGTTTTAGTAAATCAGAAGAAAGCTATTGCTGAGGTCTTAAATATTTTTACTTTTTATTTAGTTTGACATACTAAGCTGCATAAAGCTAATTATAGCACTAGAGTATTTATATATGTGCCCTTTTGGAGATAAGAGGCAGAAAAGGGGAGTGGTATGTGAATCTCTTCATTGAACTATTTTTTTAAATTCCCCCTTTGATCAGTAATTTCATCCATTTTAATGTGAATTCAAATGAAAAATCAATTAAAGTGCATGATTTAAAAACCAAGTAATGGGACAAAAACCTAGGGCTTCATATATACAAACTCCAGAAATTCCTAGTGGCCTTCTACTACAAATTAATGTTCCAGTCTTTAAAGTTGTAGTAGCAGTTAAAGTTGAGTAAATATTCTCACAAATGCTAGTGGAGACCGCAGTAGGAATAATCTGTTTTACGTAATTTGCCTTTCAATATTCGTTTATTCTAAGTATTTTTTTATTATTATAGTTTGTGCATTTGGTATTTGTTTTGGCTTTTTTTTTTTTAGTATGTGTGTAATATCTTAAAGGAAATTAATTTACCTTTATTGTGTGCGATACACTGATATTTTCTATTCCCTTGAATTAATCTAATAGTGGTAGTGCCCCACAGTTTGAAAAAAAAATGGTGCTCTAAAAAAAGAGAAAAAAAAATGGTGCTCTACAGTAGGTGTGTGCATTTTTCAAGAATGAGGTCCCATAGCTTTCATCCGATGCTTCAAAGGGATCATTCACCAAGAAGCACATTAAAGAAGAGTTTCTCTAGAGGTAACCTTACTACCTCAGAGAGGATGGTTAAGCAGTCTATCCTATATAAAATGAAAACTTCACTAAAAATTAGGATACAGAAAGCTTATAAAAATTTTTGTGACATGATTAAGATCTTAGTAATTGATTTCTGTTTGGACTGGGAGTATATTGGCAGGACTTAATGAAGCATTTTAGACAGTTTTAATATAATATTAAGCATCAAATATATACAGTTATAAGTGTTGTCTATTGATGTCAGATAATATGCTATAGTAAATAAGTGGAATTATATCTTCTCACAGGAATTAGGTTCTTTTAAGGTCAACTGTAGGAAAATAATATGTGGTATCTCTACTTTCATTTGCTGTTTTTTCCGTTGGGCACCACATGAAATAGTTGTCTTGAATGGAACATGAAAAATGTGTGTGTTTGATCTCTAGACCAGGGGTGGGCAAACTTTTTGACTCAAGGGCCACAATGGGTTCTTAAACTGGACCGGAGGGCCAGAACAAAAGCATGGATGGAGGTTTGTGTGAACTAATATAAATTCAAAGTAAACATCATTACATAAAAGGGTACGGTCTTTTTTTTTTTTTAGTTTTATTCATTTCAAACGGGCCGGATTCAGCCTGCGGGCCGTAGTTTGCCCACGGCTGCTTTAGACTCAAACTCAGACATCTTCAAGTGATCTCACTATGAAGCTCTCAGGAACTGGGACTGATTGAGAGAACAGTTGATGGAGTTGCCACCTCTCACTTTATATCAGAGCATTTGTTTACTGAATGAAATGGTTGAAGGAATTGATTACACTAGTTAAAATTATTGTTCCATTTGAAATGCGTATACAGTTTAATTTGGTTATATGACAGTTTTGTAGATATAAATAATTTACCTCTAGAATAACTTGATTGTAATTAACTAATTCTAAATTGCTTGAGGATTTGAATAAATTTTATTCAAATATAGTTGTTTTGGCTTCAAACATAAAATACAGGTGTATGAAAAAGATAAATTTAAAAAGTTATTCTTGCCCTGGCCGGTTTGGCTCACTGGATAGAGCATCGGCCTGGGGACTGAAGAGTCCCAGGTTTGATTCCGGTCAAGGGCATGTGCCTTGGTTGCAGGCACATCCCCAGTAGGCGGTGTGCAGGAGACAGCTGATCGATTGCTTCTCTCTCATTGATGTTTCTAACTCTATCCCTCCCCCTTCCTCTCTGTAAAAAATCAATAAAATATATTTAAAAAAATAAAATAAAATAAATAAAAAGTTATTCTTTGCATAGCTAAAGGATTTACTCTAGTGCTTTATTAGTTATTTTAAGTAGTGTTTTTGATTACAACATTTAGATTTTTATACATGTCCTTTTAGGAGCACATTTTATTTCTCTGTTTTCTCATTCCATCTTTCTTAGATTACTATTCTTAATTCCATTCTAAAATCATATGCCAAACTAAATTTTTCCCTATCTTAAAATTACACTTTTTAAAACTTGGAAATACTATGCTCTACAATAAACAATATTGGTATAGTTGGTATTAAAGTGCCTGACTCAGTTTTCATGTAAATCATATTCCTTTGAAACATTTTATGTGATTAGCTTCTTTAAGCAAAATTATAGATTTTTAAGATGATTCTTGAAATAGACCTTTAAAAGTATTCATTTCAAATTTTTTATGAGTCAGTTATTTTTGTACTACCAGCATCTACATTAGGCTTGTGTTGTTTTATTTTATTGAAAAATGAATATAACCAGACATGAAGGAAACATATACCGAGTTGGGGGACTCATCCGTAACTATTCTAACATGAAGATTATTTTCGTTTTTGTCTTTTCCTTTTTATTTGTCCAAAAGCAAGCCTATTTTAATCGTGTTTATTTTTTTTATCCTGTATTGTACAGTTTTTCTCACAGTTTTAGTTTAAAATGTACAGTTTTTCATTTCATGTTCTACCATTTAATAATTGTCTTATTAGAATAATATCTGTCATTTAGGTTATTTTCTGACTATTGTCGCTTTTGTTATTAGTTAAAGATATCTGACACACCTAGCACAAAAATATTTATTTATATACATCTGTAGGTATAATATATTCATACTTGTATTTAAATATATTTATATATTTATATTTAATCATATAATTGATGTCTAGTTTTTAAGTTTTAATGACTTTTAATGTCTGAATAATAGAAACAATTCTGGAATTGACATGCCAATCCAGGGTTTAATTAAAAGTAATTTATTTTATATTTGGATACTACATGCTAAGGCAGATGTTGTATACTTAATTACTATATCCTTTATTGATTACCTGCCTAACATCTTATAGCCTATATACTATAAGTTATATGCATGGACTTTTTAAATTATATAATGTTTCTTATTAATACAGATGGTTTAAGCAAAATCAGACTAAACTATAGTGATGAATCAGCTGAAGCTAGTAGATTGCTTGAAGATGAATTCATTGACTTTTCAGAAGATCAGGATAACCAGGTGAAACTTACTTGACAAAAAGTTCTGGTGTTTTATCTAATTAAGTGTTTTTCTTTGGAGTCTTACAGGTAGTTTCTTCAACCAGTAACTCATGCATCTGGACTTGGTTTTCATTTTAAAACACAAATTAAGTTTTCAGTTCAGAGGTTGCTAGGATAAATGTGCTAGTGCTGTTTTCTTTTAGTTTTGAGCCACCCTCCTCACCCCCCAATTGTAGATGAAACTAAAAATACCCACCATTTTAATAGAAAATAAATTTTTTCAAATCAACACAGCCACCACCCCTACCACCCTTTCTCTTCCTCTTTTAAATTGTTTATGGGCTATATCTAACCTTTGGTCTAACTTGACATTCAGAAGATAAATGTTTAACATTTTGATTATATTAAACTAAAACTGTATTATATTCTTCTACATTTTCAGTGATTTTTGGAGGGGTCTAATTTAATATATATGGCAGGAGCAAATAATACTTAGTTAAAACTAACATAGGTCTACTCTGATATTTATTTAATGTCTCACTTGCTCCAATAAACTTTACTAACACCAAGAATAAAATATATTATTTAAAATATTTTATAATTTCAGTTAAAAATGGCTTTATATCTAGAGAAAAGTTTATAAAAATCCTATAGCATACTATTTCTTTAATTCTTTAACTTTTTTTAGTTAGGACAAGCTGAATTTATTTAGTAGCGAAGATAGCTTTATACTGCACAAATTTTCTTCTCTTGTGAACAAAGCCATTTTTGTGATGTTTAAATGGTCTATATGGCTATAAAACATAGTTTTTCTCTCAAACATATACAGACATATATATGGGTTATATATAAGGCGTATAATGAGCACTCATGCGTCTTTGGTCATAGCACTTATTTTATTTGTAAGGTTGCCAAAAGCTTTTCTCATAGAACAAAATAAGCTTTGTTTGTTTTACATGCAAGATAATTTATAGAATAAGACACTGTCATTAAGCTGTCTTCTCTCAAATGAAGTGGATATATGGTTTTGTTAAGGAGAACAGTGTTTCCAAAAACCCTTGAAATATTTCTGATTTTTAAAAAATTTATGTAAAAGAGTAATAAATAAAAGTTACTCATGTCCTATTATGAAACAGTTATCTTAATAACCAGCTAACTTAATTTTTATAGAAACACCTAAAATCAGAGCAATGGTATTTGACCAGAGAAGAATCAGTCGTAATATATTGTCTTTAAAAATGTATTCTAGATTGAGCATATGATGTAATAACTTTTCAGATTCCTTTGATTTGTAGTTTCTTTTCATTAAAACGTCAGTGTTGTGATATTAGATAATTGGAATCAAGTGACATCCCAATTTTTGTGTTAGATCACCTGACTAGAAATGTTTTTGACATATTTGTTATAAAAGATTTCTATCCTCAGTAGTTCTACTTTGGTAGGTTATTAGTTATTTAGATTGTATATTTTCAATACTAACAGCAGGCTCTCTCTTATAGGATGACAGTAGTGACGATGGATTCCTTACCGATGACAATTGCAATTCAGAAATAGGACAGTGGCATTTAAAGCCTACTATCTGTAAACAGTAAGCATTGACTACATGAAAATCTTTATTTATGTACCTTCATAAAATAACATGACTACACAGTTTTTTGTTTTGTTTTTTAAATATTTTTATTGATTTCAGAAAGGATGGGGGTGGAGAGAGAGATAGAAACATCAATAATGAGAGTGACTCATTGATCGGCTGCCTCCCACCCACAATGGGGATCAAGCCTGCAATCCAGGCATGTGCCCTGACCCAGAATCAAACCGTGACCTGATTCATAGGTCGATGCTCAACCAATGAACTACACCAGCCGGGCTAGACAGTTTTATTTAAACAAGTACTAAGCAAAAGTCACAATGGCTGTCAGTTTCATTGAGGAAAACTGGATCATGCCCAATGTCCAAGGATCAAATGGAGAGAAAGAATAATTATTTTAGTCCTCCATTTTTTATGTGTGCATGCATGCACACACAGACATTTCTACCCCAAATGAGAGTGAGTTCATTTTGGTTTTCGGAAGTAATACTATATTCTGAGGTCTCTCTAGGGGCTCCAAGCTTCTTAGGTGGTGACGTATTGCCTATTTGTAGACCTCATCTTTTTTGGCTTCTTTTTCTTACCTTTTGTTTTTTTTTCTTTGTAGAAAATGTTGGTTAAAACTCCATTAACAGCTTTTGAAAAGTAAACCTCATTTATAAAGAAAAATATAGAGACCTTGAACAGTGAAGAGATCTCCAAATTCCACAAAATTTTAGCCAGGAAGAACCTAGACCCGTGGTCGGCAAACTGCGGCTCGCGTGCCACATGCGGCTCTCTGACCCCTGAGTGTGGCTCTTCCTAAGCCTTAGGAGTACCCTAATTAAATTAATAACAATGTACCTACCTATATAGTTTAAGTTTAAAAAATTTGGCTCTCAAAAGAAATTTCAATCGTTGTACTGTTGATACTTGGCTCTGTTGAATAATGAGTTTGCCGACCACTGAACTAGACCTTTAAACATTAAAGGTCACTTTGCACTACATTAGACTTCCTTACCTTTACTTGGGTTTATAACAAAATTTTGAAGGTTGAGGCTTATAGTGAGTGTTCAAAGTGGAATCACTGGATTCTTAATTAATTCTTGTATGTGACTTTTACCTGTTTTGTTACCTGTAATAGGTTTTAGTTACAAGTGTGATTATTTTCTTCTGCTTTTGGTGGAATATAGGTATTCAAATTTTCAGAATGGTTATGACTTCCTATTAAATTTTGAAGTATTTTTAGAAACCTACTATGGAACTTTATTGAAATATATTGACAACTAAAATATGGCTAAATTACTACTTTATTATTTGCTATTTAACATAGCCATGGCTATTTAAGTATTATTAGGGTATGTATGTCTATAAGGTTTATTCCCACCACCCTCCCTAACTTTTAGGCATGCAAAGGGAATATTGAAGGTTTTAAATTGTATTGCTAATGCACATCTCTTTATGCTCTTTTAACATTATAAGGTGTTAACATTTGGTCCTTTCTACCATGCAGACCTTGTATCCTACTGATGGACTCACTCAGAGGCCCTTCTCGATCAAATGTTGTAAAAATTCTGAGAGAGTAAGTTCAGAACTGCACCTCGTACTTTGTATTCTGTTAGAAATAAAGAACTATATATATGCATATTCTTACTACATATTTATTGTTGCAGGTATTTAGAGGTGGAATGGGAAGTTAAAAAAGGAAGCAAAAGAAGTTTTTCCAAAGATGTTATGAAAGGCTCTAATCCAAAAGTACCCCAACAAAATAACTTCAGTGATTGTGGTGTATACGTATTGCAGTATGTAGAGAGCTTTTTTGAGGTGGGTTTCAAATTGTTGGATATGAGATAATAAATAGTAAAATACTATTTGGGGTCTTATGTTATTATAAAATAATGGTAAGTAAATATTTTGAAGAGTTTGAAAAACTATCATTTCAAAAATTATTCCAAGGAGCAAAAACTTCCAAATTGGAGAATTTTTAAGACATAAAAAGGTTATATATTTCATCACATCTAAGCCTTGTGAACTCATTCCTCATCACTAATCAACTCCCCTTCCCCCTGGCTCTTTCTACCTTAAGAAATCTCTCCCATGATGTGCATTGCCCCTTTCACTCTCTTTTTTCCTCTTCACAGATATATTTCTGGAGATGTATTTATATTCACTATCTTCATTTCCACAAATTCTGCTTCTCAAATCTCTGTAGTCTGGCTTCATCCTCATTCTTATATTGAATTTGTTCATGACCTCTAAGCACCATTTGACATTGACCATTCCCCTCCTCATAACACTTTCTTCCTTTATCTTAAGAGATGCAATAACACTCATGCATATTTCTCTTGGATATTCTTTCCAGTTATATTGACTCCTTTTTCTTAATTCACTATTCAGTGTACCATAAATGTTATCACTTCATGTTAAATATGTTCAGTTCTTTATTTCTGATGCCACTTTTGAAGTTCAGTATACTAGCATCATTATTCTAAACTACTGCCTCCTACCTTCTGTTTTTCACAGTTGTTTTCCAGAAACCCAAATCTAGTCATGTTACATTAAATCTCATAATGGCTTCCTGTTGCTCTTGGATTAAAGAAAATTCATGTGGCCTACATGATCCAACTCCTGTCCAACCTCCTAACCTCATTTCCTACCATTCTCACTCTAGCATTCTTCATACCAGCCACCTGAGTGTCATTCAGTTTCTCATATTGTGTCATGTTCTTTCTCATCTCTAGACCATGATACATAGTTCTTTACCTGAAATGTTCTTTCCTACTGCTTCTATCATTTCTTATTTGGCTAACTCCATTTAACTTCGGGTCTTAGCTTAAATATTACTTCTTTTTGGAATTGTGTTTAGCCCCCACATATGTATAGGACTATCTGATTCTACCTGTCACAATATTTGTCATATTCATTATTTTAATTGTTGTCTGTCTGTCTAGAGTCAACAAGCCTTTTTATAAAGGGCCAGATATTAAGTAATATTTTAGGCTTTGCAGCTATACAGTGTCTGTTCCTATTCAATTCTGTTGTGGCAAGAAAGCATATACAGACAACATGTAAATGAGTTAGTGTAACTGTGTTCCAACAAGGCTTTATTTACAAAACGGGCAGTAAGCAGAATTTGGCCCACTAGCTGCCATCTGCTGACCCCTGATCTAGACGACCATCTGTTGGCAGAAGCTATCTATCTCCTGTGCTGAGCAGAATGCCTGGCATGTTGATAGATAATGACTGAATACATAATAACTGAGTTGTTGATTTTTAATTTTTAATGTTGGAAAGCTTTTGTGTTTTAACTTAAACTGTTATTCCTTATAATTTTCTAATATGCATCTAACATCTTTATTTTCAGAATCCAATCATCAATTTTGAACTACCTATGAATTTGGCAAACTGGTTCTCTCCCCCAAGAATGAGAACAAAAAGAGAAGAAATTCGAAACATAATTCTAAAGCTGCAGGAAGATCAGAGTAAAGAGAAAAAGAAGTATAAGGACACGTACTCAACAGACACATCTTTCGATGAAGGAACAGAACAAAGTATCGACAGTATCTCAGATTGACCATTTCTGATTCTTGTCAGTGTTGTCCTGAGAAACAGGTGACTTTCATCTTTGGGTGCAGACAGTAAAGAACTGAAGTGCTCACTACTCAGAGTGATTTGAAAATGTTAATGCTTGTATAAATGTCATATAATTAATTTCCAATGGAGTATGTATTAAGTTAGTCTGTAAATATGTTAATGAGGCCAATTTTTCCAGCATTTATAATTATTTTTTTTTCACTTGTTAGGAAGCTTTTGTTATGTATTTTCTGTTAATAGTACTGAAAACTGCAACTTCTAAACACTAAATAAATATTTATAGGAGGACATGATTAATTTGATATTCTTTAGTGAATTTGTATTAAATTCCTCGGTGTGTGTCATATATTTCATGGGAATGATTCAAGTATCTATGATAATTTTTTGACCCTTTGCATTTCTAAAGTAACTTGAAATATGAGAATAAGATGAACTCTAAGGCATTTTGAACAAGAAAGACATCTTTATGTGCTTGTAAAGCAGGGGGAAAGACAACAGCTTTTTAAATTCATATATTCCCTTGTATCCAAAAAACTCCAAAATGGAATAAATATAATTTTACATAAATATTTAAGGAGAAGTAATTCAAAGAATAACCTTGAATTAAACTAAATAACTGCTTTATCATATATTATTGCCAACTACATTTCTGAAGACGTCTGAGGCTCAGGTTAAAACTATTTTGATAAGTGCAGCTCGAATTTCAAATATCCCATGTTATCTTTCTATATTATAGCTTAAAATATTCTACAATATGTGTGATATAGTTAATTGGTAAACATTTTTAATCTGTGAACACAGCAATTTAAATAGGAATTAAATATTTTTTGTAATGGCTTTTGCTATTTTTTCATTGCTCATTTTGTTCTTGTTATTTTGATAGAGTATCAGACTTTGCACATGAGTTTTTTAGTGTAAATTATTTTTACATGTGAAAGTAATATCTTTTGATCAATTGCTTAATGCAGGAAAAAAAATCCCCTACCTTGCTTGAATTCCCCTTTTAAATTCTTAAAATGTGATGGTTTTGATGACAGATTTACAACTCATATAGGAATCTTGCATATATCTGCTGAAACTATTATTTTCAAATGAAACATCATACATTTCTTTTGAATTAACTTTGAGACTCAAAATATATATTTTAAAAGTCATTTTTTGTTAAAAATGAATTTCAAAATGCACATATGTATAACAAAAATAGTTGAGACTATAAGGAAGGCCATTTTTATCAGCATTTATTTTATTTTTAGTCTGGTCATTTCTGGTATTGTGACCAACATTTTAGGATATTTTCTTGAATTTAATAAAGTCTGTGGGTGTGTTTGGGGTAGATGGAGGTGTTAACAACAACTAAAAAAAATTTATTGAGACACACTCATTAAGGGAAACCTTAAAATGTAGGTTTAGGGAAGATCATCATTAGTGCTTTCAATTATAGTTTTGTTACTTTGAACTATGAGAACATTTTTAAATTTCTGATTACATTATTTTTTTTTAAGAAATACCCTAGAGCTATTAGCCCAAATATGAAAAAATGAGTTTAATCTTATTATTTACTGAATATGGACAAAAAGAAATGGAAATTGTTTTTTTTAAATTCCTGATAGCAGTAAACAAAATTCATATATTTAATTTTTTAAATATACTGTATTTTATCAGAATTTGAAGTTACTGAAAAAACTATTCTAAAATGCTCATTTGTTTTTGTTTTAATTTCTGATGGTTTCATTTTGCATTCTTAATCTTAAGAGAAAAATATAACTTGTCCTTTATGCCATCTCAAGTCAATCACATTTTGACATGAAACATATAGATTGATGCCTGACAGTTTTCACTAGAGATAGAGTATTCAGATATTTGATATTTCTCCCAATCCATGTAAAATTCTATTTTTAAAAATTATGCTAATAACTTTGTTTTACATATACTAGTATATACTGAAATCTTTGGAGACTTCGAGGGTGAGCTCCAAAACTAGACTTGAGAATCTTTGGTGTATATGCACATTTACTTGATGATTATGTACTGTGGTACTGCTATATGTAGTTTAAAGTGGCTACCAGTCTTTTAAAATGTGTCATTAGTATTTGGAAGTTGTGAAACAGAATTTTAAAGTTTAGAGGTTTGTTACTAGACACTGAAACTGCATGACAAGTATCTGGTGTCTTAACTAATTAGATCTGTTGTATTTGTTTTCTTGTTGGATAGAATAACAGTTAATCATTTTTAGAGGAGTTTTAGATTACTCGCCATAAAATTTGTATGTGTCTCAGCTTGTGGTAGTTTAGGAGCAAAGTTGGCATTTAACTAGTTCGTTCCCTTTGGTGATGTTGTTAAGACAGGTGAAAACTTAGTGGTATTGTTTCAAGTTCACATAAATCTAAATCAGTTAAGCAGAGTAACCTGTGCTTACACTACTAGTCAATTATATGTAGGCAGTTTTATTTGAAAAGGTAAAATAATTATCTAAATTATATCTTGTTTTAAGTCACCAGAATGAATTCAGTATTCTTTTCTTTAAAAAACTAAGATCTGTGAAGATTGTAAGATATAACATAAAACAAACAGCTTTAATTTCCCAGCCATCACAAATTATACTTAAAAATCATAGACAGTTCACTAAACAGGAGCATTAATGAATGAATATATATATATACACACACACACACACTCACACACACACACATATATATATATATACATACATACATATATACACACACACATACATTTTTTTTAAAATCCCCATTTGAGGGCATGCTTAAGAGAGAGAAATAACAATGTGAGAGAGTAACATCGATCAGTTTGCCTCACCTTTCGTATGCTCCCCAACTGGGGATCAAACTCGAAACCCAGGTATGTGCCCTGACCAGGAATTGAACTGATAACCTTTCAGTGCATGGATGACACTCAACCAACTGAGCCACTCCAGCCAGGCAAGAATATATTTCAATATATACATATATATGATCAAGAGTTGGTGGAGTAAAGCTACTGGAATATGATAGAATAACTTAGAAGAAACAGAACCCTTAAAAGATAAGGTAATGTAGTGCTGTATATTTAGAAGAGGTATCAATAACAAGGTTGCTCTAGAGATTACTTTGAGGACAAAAAGAGAAATTATTGTGGAGGCATGCTACAGACTGTGTAGCCAAGTGAATGTAAATGTATAGTTTACCAGTAAGAACATAACGTAACACTGGACTGTATTGGAAAGTATAATCTAAATGCACTGAAATACTACAGTAGGACTTAGGGTTTTTTCCTAATCATAGGAAGGAAAAAGGGGGTTATGAAAATGCTTCAAAACTAACCACAGAAAAAGAATTGGTTGATCAAGTCAAAGAAATGTGTACCTTGGGGGAAAGTAGTTCTACCATCTTAATTCTAACAGATCAGATCAAGGAATAATGATAGGGTACCCTAAACTGCTATTAAGGAAATCAGAGTGCACTGTACTCAGGAAACTACCATAGACCCATGGCCTGAAACAGACCAAAAAATTGAAAGCTTACAGGTCTTCACTATATTGCAAATAACATTTAAATTGTCCTTATTGCAAATGATTACAGTGAAGAGCGTATTATCCAAATCAATTATTTTTATCTAGGAATAGACATCAAAATCCTGGGGAGCTCTTCAATGTCCCTGACAGTTTTTAAGCTGCTAGTCCCAGAGGTAATAAAGTTTGTATTTTACTCTTTTAAATGCTTTAGATACCACTTGGCTCCCACCCCCCTACCCCCAAATTTTCATTAAGAACTTGAAGTTATTAAGTTGCTAAAGAAAATTATTAAGGTACTCAAAGGTTAGATAGTGGCACATAAATCATGTTGTTCTAAAGATTCTGGCCCTATCTGGTTTGGCTCTTTATAGAGTGTCAGCCTGCAGACTGTGGGCCCCAGGTTCGATTCTAGTCAAGAGCACATGCCCAGGTTGCAGGCTCAATCCCCAGTGGTGGGCATGCAGGAAGGAGCCAATCAATGATTCTCATCATTGATGTTTCGGTCTGGAGCCCTCTCCCTTCCTCTCTGAAATCAATAAAAATATATTAAAACATTTTTTAAAGATTCTGCAAATTATAAAACCGCAACTCTTGAGAAGATGTGGAAGTCAATTATTAAATGGTGGTGTGTGAACTGTTAATGGTCACTAGAAGTTAGGGAACAACTACAATCAAGGTTGTTTTACATTTTTACTAGAAATCTGGACTAATAAATCTAGAATGCAGCCGGACTAGCAATTCTCAAAATGTGTTTGATAACTCTGGTTCTGTGGTCAAATAAGTGTAAAATATTTAAACCAAGTTAAGCCAGTTTCTTGGAACTTTTAATATGCTAATACAGAGCAATTTAATGAGTGGAAAATATAGAACAGCATGATAGATACAGAATTTGGCTATATCTTCCTTTTTCTCTTCTGGTCTGGTTCTCTAAACTGCCTTATAAACGCTCCACAGAATTAACTATTGGGGTATTTATGAACTGAACTTTAAGGGGTACTTTTGAAACCTCTCTGAGGTTGGTTACTTATTTACATTTTATTTCACTAATAGTTGGGTATATGATTTGTAGACTTGAAAATAAGTGACTAGTGTCCTGGGAAAATGAAGTCAGATTTGATGATACTCATCTTTTGTCACTAAGTCATCTAAACTCATCACAAGTAGAAATTGTGCAAAAATATGAATGTGAATTGAAAGATTATCTGTCAGCTTTTTCCTCTGTTTATATCTTAACTGATAGCTTATACCTCTCCCAACTTCCACGCCATCACCCTTTACTTTAGAATTAAACTGCAGCAAACTTTATATCTAAAAGTTTTCTTTTCCTTCTCCAGAAATCTGTGCAAAACAGCACTTTTAACTTAATACATACACACACACACACACACACATATATATATATATTTCTCACTGGAGGATATATTTCTACATGTTTATTGATTTTTAGAGAGAGGAAGGGAGAGAGGGAAAAATAAAAACAACATCGATTGGTTACCTCCTGTACACACCCGGATCGAACCCGAAACCTAGGTATGTGCCCTTATGGGATCAAACTCAACCTTTTGGAAGGCCCTCCAACCAACTGAGCCACCTGGCCAGGGCAACTTTCAGTATTTTTAATCCCCCAAATAACTGAAAACAAGTTTTTTAATCCTGTTATGAGACATTAAATTTATCATAATTAGCTACATACATGTTGATAGGAGAGATGATCCAAAACAAATTAAATGAACTTTGTACTAAGTGTTGGAAATTTAAAACAGCCAAAACTATAGAATGTTACTAATGTCA